TTTTCGAGTTTTGGAGGATATCTTGACCGCAAAGTAAAGCTACCGTAAATGTACAACCCTACATCCGGTCTCAAACCAGGAAGTTAGCATTTTCTCGTGCACAGGGTCTATTAATTAATGACTTTATGGAGATTTTTGTCTTTAAAACCCCTCAAATTACATACAAGAGAATCAGTCTGAGACAATCTGAGACCCTCACCTGTCACTGTAAGCAGCGGTGGTGGTGGGTTGGGCAAATCTGTATGCTGCATAGCCACCCTGTAAAAGAACAAAAAAAATACCACCATATTTAATCAGTGATTACCTGTGCAGACAAAGGTTAGCTCTCAAAGACACAAGAAAACAACCACTCGCACACACACAGCCTCAAATTGCCTTAATGGTTAAATGTCACCACGCAGTAGTTTGCTCATCTGCTCACGCTCCCCGACTGCAGCCTCCCCGTGAGACACCAGAGGGTGCTGTTTGATATATGGTGTGTTAGGCAGGTGGTGGCAACAAGAGAATGAATGATGTTCTGAGAGGCGGCGCGTTTAGGGGGAGCAAGTCATTGTCGCACCGGAGGCTCATCCGAAGCGCAGCAACGGAGGCGACGTGAGCCAAATCCCCACATTCAGCCCATTTTTAGATTGAGGGCGCGCCGCTGCTCCGTAATTGAAGATCTCCCCCCTTTTTCTCCCTTATACATGACCCCCCCGGCTCACAAAAGAAGTAAGAAGGCAGAAGACGGTCGGACCATTGGGGAGTCAGGACCGCTGTATTCATTTGCCAGAATGGGGAAGGAATTAAAGACCTCATTGTGGAGTGCTGCTATTACTCTCTTTGAAAAATGAAGCTGTTCTCCCACTGTTTTTCTATTAGTGCCAGTGGAGTGTGTGCCCATCTGTGTCCATACGGTGGATAGGTGGCTTTTAATAATGCATGTTTTCATTTATTTTTAAACTCAAGGGGGGGGTGTCCGATGCAGAGCGACATCGCGAAGTAACGGTGAGTCGGCCGAGGTCGCGGGTGCAAGCGAAATCGGGGCCACGCCGATCGAATTCCGCTCCCTGATGTTTACCGAGGGGACAGGAAGTCACAGCGATTGAAGCGGATGACTTCCTGTGGGACGGTCATGCCTTGGGAATGTGTTGATTACAGCAACAGCCTGAACAAACACGGGACAATAAATCACTCTCCCACATTGTCAAATCCTGCACGCGGCCGCGCAGCACATTTTTTATTTTGTCATGGGGAATATGTGGGTGTGCATTCATGTATGTGCGTGTCTATGCGTGCATATGCATTAGCGCATGCCACGTATGTGCATTTATATGTGCATGCATTCGTTTCCCCCCCTTCTGCTAATACATTAGCAGAAGCCTTGACAGAACAGCTGGCTGCTTTTGACAGCACGCCAGTGTCCACTGAATGATTGTATAGGACACTGAGGGCTGTGGGACGGCTCCCTCTTGGTCACTCGAGACCTTCACATACTCTCAGCCAGTCTGAAGCAATGCAGTGGCCATTGCCAAAACTAATGGCAGTAAAGCACCAGGGGCCGGCCTGACGGTTTGAGTGATGGACCGACCTGGCCGGGCCTCGGTCAGGGGACATAGCTGTGTAGGACTTAGCTGGAGGTGGCTAAATGAGCGTGAGAGACAAACAACATCGCTCAGAGCGCAGCCCGGGTTTCTTCCACAGTGGTGGGTGTCCCTACAACAAAAGCCGGTGAAATACGGCCCTATCGTGCGGGCTGGTGTGTAAGTCATAGATCACTTGGGTTTAGCATTTCATTCCCAGACACCGGTCTTTGTCAGGGTGAAAGTGAGAAGGAACTGTCATTGCTGCTGCTGCACAGACAGTCATCTCACTGCGGTGGAAAAAAAAATCAAAGGGACAAATTACATTCCTCGCAAACGTTTGGACTCGTGTCAAAGTGGGGCAGCGTGGTAATTTCAGCATTATCTCCACAGAGTCCACGCTCTTCTCTGTCAAGGGCGAGGTGCAGCAGGGCCGGCCCCCGATGTGACCCTGCCTGCACGGACAGCTCCAGAGGGACAGTTAATCCCTTTATCTGCAGCTTCTCTTATCTCCCACTTGCTGATGGCTGGGAGGAACCGGCTCCACTCAGGCCTGCGCAGACCCCCTGGGGCAAGCAGGGGATATCCCAGCCAAACCCTCGGAGTGAATGCAAAAACATCAGAGAGGTAACAAGAAGAAAGAAAGCTGGCGGGGCGGCGGGGGGGACTTAAAAACCTCCAGACAAATCTAAAGGAATAAATGACCTAACTTGACACGGGACACTGAGTCAGGGTCTGCCTCTTTGCCAAAGTCTGAGATCATAGGAAGAAAAGAGGGAGAGGAGGGAGGAGCTGAGGGGGTTTTAAATTTTGTTGTTGAGTTTCTTGGCACAGTAGACAGAGGCCTAATCGACGCCGGCTTGGCAGCGAGGCTGGGGGCTGAGGAGATCACGTTTTTGTCTCCAGGGCTGGGCTTCTTGTCTGTTTTACTTCTGTTTCATCTAGAAGAAAAGTCAACTGTACTTACATAGATCTCTGCGCCGTAGAAGCCATCTTGGTACACCACCCTGTGAACGTGCGAAACAGGAAAGCACGGTTAGTTGATTTGGACTGCATCCGACCCCACCGACTCTCAGCCTTTGCCAATTTTCCTATTTTGACCATTTGCAGGTCTGTCGGGTCAGCTCTTAGCAGCTTTAGCTCGCTGTACCACAAATAATGAATGACACAAACTGAAAGGTGTAACAGTTTCACATCCCTGTCCAATTTTCTGCTCCGGTAAAATTGTTTGTCTTTCCAGTTGCTGCAGTTGCTATCAGGAGGGCTGGCGGTGGAGAGGTAGGACAAAAGAAGGCAGTGAAGGAGCTGCGTCACATGACTTGGCTATATAAATCAACCGGCTGCCATCGGCAGCAAAGGGGTCCCCGAGTGGGAAGGAGGCGAATGGGGATGTGGGATTTCCAGTCTCAGCTGCGAGTCCCACCGCACTAAGACAGATCCAGATCTAATCACAGATAGACAGCTATGGCGGGGCAGCGGCCAGCCTCCGTCAGACCTCTCCCACGGCCACACAGACCAGCGCTGATAAGAGACGAGTGCGAGGCAGGCCTGCATAAAGCCAGGAGATCAGCACGGGCCCCCGGTCACAGTCCAGTGAGATCTGACTGGTAATACACTATCGCAGCTCTCACCTTGACTTTGTCAGTTACTCCTTTGTCAACACGCGCTGTGCAAATGTAAGGACGGGCAGGGTTCGGTTATGTTTATCCGCAGATACCAAAGTTCTCTTCAGACATGTGCGCAGATAAAAAAAAAATATGTAAAATTACAGCAGCAATGCTGCCTGGCTATGTTAGACAAGCGGGTTTCCTGCAGGAGGGCACGGTCTTGAGACGCAACAGAAAGATTTCTTTTAAATTATGAGTAGAAAAGCAAAGTTTGGGCATAAATTCAATCGCAGCATGAACAGCTGCAGCACTGTCGGAGCAGTCTTGGGTACAGTTTCATTCATACTGCAGCGTGAAATCTAACCAAACGACAGCTATGTATATAAAAAGTGCTCGTTGTGTTCAGACTACACAGTATCAGCCCAGTTACGGCCCAGTTTGCATCAGGAGAAACAGTCCACAACACATTTTGTCTTGATGTCTGAAAGAGTGTAAAAAGCTAAAACTCTCAGCTATGAAAAGACAAAACTTATCGTACCAGACAAAAACATCGTGCAACCCGAACCGGGCCTCGGAGGGTCAGTACTCACGCTCCGTAAGCTGGGATTGGTGGTGGAGGTGGAGCTGTGCGGAATGTGTTGTACACAGCCCGTCCCCGTCCCCGCAAGTGGGCACCCCGATAGGCCACCGTAGCTCCTGTGGCAGGGTAGGGAAATCCTGTTACTATGGAGCAAAAACACACACGAGAAGAAGAGAAAATGACTTTCAGAGAACATCCTCGACTTGGCATTGCTTACCTTATGACAGAATACATTAGAGAGAGACGTGTGGCACTGCTTTCCCTATGACAGAATGCATTATAGGGAAGACAAGGAAACAATAGATTTAATCTTTTCTAGGTGCGCCTCATCGAGCACTCTCCCCTTTCCCAGCTCGCTGCTTTGTGCCGTACTCAGCAAGGATCCACATTTGCTGTACGCATCCTTTCCCGATGCCTGGTGAGGGGCAGCCTTGAAGCTGGGCAGGTAATGGATGCAATACCACTAGTTTCGCACCACGGCTTTTGCATAGTTTAGACACAATGGGCTAGCAACAAAGAGCAGCGGGAGGGTGGACGGGGTAGAGGTAGAGGGCGTTTCTCGGTGTCGGGCGGAGACAAACAGGCGGTAAAGGTTGTTGAACAACTTGACTAGACGTTCTGAACTTCCCCGAGGGGAAATGGAGCAGATGGGCAGGACAGCCAAGTCCCAAACCTCAGCATGACCCCCATCTCCAAACCCATCTGGGACCATCTTTAGCCAATCGCACAGCCACATGCTCTGTCCTCTGCTGATGGCTACCACTGAACGTGAAAAGGGTCAGTTGGGGTGAAAGGCTTCGGGGTGACGAGTAGGGGTTGGTGCGACGGTGCGACGAAATAGCCACGGTCGCAGATTAGAGGACAGCCGATGTGATCGTCAGCTCTCCACTTAACCTTCAATCGGTCCACTGGCTGTCTGATTACAGGCTGTGGAGGTGCATACAAACACACTGATCTCTAGACATGATTAAGCTGGCCTCTACTTTTCCAGCAATTGTAATTCCCTCGCTGCTCCCTTCCCTCTGGTCTTCGCCCTCTCTCCCTCCCCCAACGTCTGGTCCATCACAGCGCAGTCAGCCCCGTTATTCTTTATCCCCAGAAACGCCCCTTCGTCACCCTCTCCTCACCTTACTCTTCGCCTTATTCATTTCCACGACACGCTTTGGATGAATTCATCACGGACCGCTTCACTTTCCCCAATCACAGATCACTCTGATGGGGAGCTCGAGTCTGATTTGGTTTGGTGACGCGGCGCCTCGGCTGGGGTAAATAATGCGGGTTAATAACACGCATCCGGCCTGTTTCAGACGACCCGCCAGTCCCTCGCAATCTCCGACAAACTAGACTACAATGAAGATCCATGGTAGCTCGTAGGTAAGCGGTGCTGTATGGGTTTGTGCCTGGGGAGTGACAGCCTGATGGTACTCTGCCGTGTGCAGCGCTAGCCCTGCATTTGGTCGAGACCAGTGAGCACCCTAATGGACGATGCTCACCCTAGCCTCGCTGCTTCAATAAAGCTGACAGGGAGACAGATTAGTGGTGCTTTTAAAAACACAGAGAGCCCGGTTTAATGTCTTCTGCCATTAACATCACGCTCCATTAGTGGGTCCGCACACATATTCAAACTTTGCGTCTCATTTGGCCAGGTGACGCCCACACATCACCCGCCCACCAATGTGCGGGGCGCTTTCTTTGCTGCCAACACACCCGTGGACGGCCTGGACTGGGACGGTGCCCCCTTTGCCTCCCGGGTGATTTATAACGCTGACCTTGACATTTAAATTAGTCCCTCCTTTTTTTGGAAGCAGTGGACATCTGAGCGCGGCCGCTAAAGGGCAAAAACAATCCTCCTTGATAATTTTCGAGGTGCGTCGCCCTCTTCTTAACAAATCGCCGCTGTTTCTGAGCTCCCACAAAGCCCAATTGCTTCCTTCTCTTTTTTTGAAAATTTGTATGCAATATGCATGCGGTGATGTATGTGAATGTAAACTCATAATGAGTTGGCGATAGGCTACACTGCTTCAATAATAACCCATAAATCAAAGGCGCTGTCACACCTTGGTAAGCCCATGAAAAGCAACAACAGCAACAGCGTATGAGAGCGCAAACCTGGTCTAGCCACCAAAGTCAAACACCCTTTCCGGGAGGGGGGCTGGAGAAAATATGAGTTATGCGCTGAAGGGCGGCGGGGTCACGCTGCACCTCGTATGTCATATGTGTCAACTTGAGAGAAGCTCAATACCTGCAGAGCCAGTTGGACCCGAGGTAATCCCGCTCTGCGCCAATGATGGGGTCATAACCGGCTCCCATAAAGAAAGATCTGATTTTCCACAAGGTTGATCTCTCTAATACTTCCTGCTCAAATACATCGGGCAATGAGCACTTAATCCACGCACTGGGGACCAAAAAAACAGCTTAATCTAATCAAGAGTCTGGAGCTTAATTATCCCCCTAAAGTACACTCCAACAATGAGAGGATCTGTCTACATATGTTAAGATGGCAATTAGCCTTTCTTTTCTGTCATTTACACAGCTGGTAGCTTTTCACGAGTCCTCAAAAAAGAAGAAAAAAAAAAGAAACCTCCACCTTAGTCGCAGAAAAATATGAACTGGCGAATGAAAAGCTACTCATCTCCTGTCTTCCTGGGAATTAGCTGCCGAGGGGAGTCTCTTTGCGTTAGTCTGAGGAGAGCCGAGCCATACGAAGGGATTTCTAAGTGACAGCTGTCCATGGTGCTGAAAACATCCAGCGCAAGTTTGCCAATTGCAATGAGATGAGCTGAGAATGCAACATGCACGGCTCACCCTGACGAATGATGTCACATTAACAACAAATAACGTAAAACAGAGCCCCGACATTTGTGCTGTTTTTAGCTACACACCTACAGACTGTTGTCGTACTATATTTGGATAGCGGAGCACAGATTCTGGGGCTTGTTCTACAAAAGTTTAGCGCTCACTAACACAGGATAAAAACGAGCACTGGTACTGGATGCCTACCAGCTACCTCACACTATGATTTGTGCCACAGCCATGTGCTATTGCCAATCCCTCCATCTGACTGGGAACCCCGCTGCCATGCCTCTTTTTCTCTGGACCACACCGCTGTCCTCTGCAACCCCTTCAGCAGGGCTCCATGGGAGGTTTGGGTATTAGGTGGCAACGGAGAACACGGACCCACGTTTGGAGCTGGCTGCCAGTACCCTACCGAGAACCCTCCTACCCCCTCCTCCACGCAGAGGAGGAGCCAATCTACCCTGGAAGAGGTTAAGAGCGGGGAGCCGGTATGAGGCTCTCATCCGTCATTCTCCTGAATGGGTTTTGAGGACAATAAACCTGTAGCGCCAGGACGAATGGAGACGAAGTGCGCTGTCACCGAGCCAGGATTTATGGCTACCAATTTCACTGATCTCCTGCACAGAAATGAGGACTGATAAACAGTGATTAATCGCCTTTATATCCCATTTTACTCCCACCAAAAGTATATTAACTGTAGCTGTGATGATTTTGGAAAATGTCCTGAATGTGGTCATCATTTTTTTTCTCTTTTTTTTAAAGGAAGAGTAGAAGAAGAATGCAACAGTCAACAAGCTGGTCAGAGTTTGTTTTTTAGTGAGTTAAAACAGCCTTTTGCTGCTCATTAGGGAGGTTTTGTTTCAAAAATGTATCTCTTATTTATGTTTCCCATCTTCCCAGCTGGCAAGCATATGTTGTCGTTTAGGCTTGGCAAACTCCAGCGCCATGTCAAGACGACTTGAAAAATTAGCAGCCAATAAATCACCCAACCCCTCCTGCTTCCCCTGCCTGGAGTGGTGGACCACACTCCCTCTGATTTATGAGATGATTTGGGAAGTGTGTGTGTGAGAGAGAGAGAGAGAGAGCAAAATGGAGAGTGTGTGCATGGAAGAGGGGACATGTATTTGAGTCTGTGCTCTACATAGGTTATCTATTTCTGTGTGCTGGAGTGCTTTGGTCTGAGAAGCAGGGCAGGTGTTAGCGTCGCGCGTGGATGTGGGTCAAGTGAAATTATTGTTTACGTAAGCTGAGACTTACTTAACGTCCCGATTTTCAATTTAGAGAAAAGGCGCCACGTTTTTTGTGCCTGAGCGTGCGAGAAGAAGAGGGACGAGCGTACGTTTGTGTGTGTGTGTGTGTGTGAATAATTATCGGCAGAAGATGTCGAAACTAAAGGAATGTTGGTGGGGGGAGGAGGAGGTGGGGAGTGGGAGGCGAGGGAGGAGGCTCGGAGGGGGCGAGGGGTTGGGGATGAAATAAAAATGATAGATGACTGCTTTCTGTCATGGACAGTTATTTAGAGGTTCGCCGTAAAGCTGTCCGGGGAATGAACAGATTTTAGTCTAATGAGCAGAAAGGAAAGCCGTTAAAGTGGCGCGATGTGCTCAGCACTTCTTCCAAATGAAATAGTACCATTTCCCCCTCATTAAAATGCAAAGGGTTCATATAACATACAGCAATAAAGCTGGCATGTCGAGGCAGAGAGAGATAGGGAAAACCCCACTGAGCTCATCTCATTCCTCCATTACTGAGACCAGAAGGAATAGCGGCCTTCGACAGGGTAGGTGCCAACAATATCGCTCACTCAATCTCCTTTATTCGGTTAGCTCTGTAAAAGTCAATCTGGCGCACTTGGCAAATCCATCCACAGCAGCAGCCTCCACAATCTGATAACAGTTGCAGGGGCGCTTGCTCTCGAAATCATTTTTTTTTTCCAGCGTTACAGTTGCACACCGCGCAAACAATGGCTCAGGCTCCCTCAGCCACTCAGAGAGGCTTGGATCATCCACTGCTTATCTGAGCCGCTCTCCGATTCACTTTGATTCGAGGGGAATTTCATGTTCAGTAGGTTCAGGATGAACCTGATTGTAGAAATTCAGGGGTCAGAGTGGGACAGGCGGTGGCTGATAGCGGCCTCGGGTACGGTGCGATGCATACAGCGGGAGGTGGGGGGAAAAACACAGAAAACAGCTCTTACCGGCATACAGTTCAGGACCGTAGACAGCTCCGACCACTGGATTCAGCTTCCAGCCTGGCGAGAAGACGGAAAGAAAAACTTGACTCACAGCGACGACTACGAGCGAACTCTTATCGTTTGGTTTGCCACTCACCGTTCGTGTACGGGTTGGCCACTTTTTTGTTTGTCATCACTCGTGCTGTCGCGTTGTTCACCTGTTCCAAGCAGCAAACACAAAGCCCGTGATTACTGACCTTTACATTTACCATCCGCGTATCCGCGGCGAGCTATAAGCGAGCAGCAAACCAAGATGAATAAAGACGGATTCATAAAATAAATGATTATGTAAATTTGTTTGTAGCACTTTAGTGTGATTGAGTTTTGGTTCGCCCTTTCATGAATTTATTCATCATTTCAATTTTCTTACAGATGATTATATTACTGGAAAGAGAGGGAAAGCATGCACCAATTACCCACAGGTATGAATAATAATAATAATAATAATAAAAAAGCATCCTCAGAATTGGTTGGATAAACAAATGGATTCCAAAAGCAAAACACAGACAGTGCTTTGATTTTCTTCTATTGACCTGATGAGAACGGCCGAGTGCGGGCTCGGCTCGTCGTAAACAAAAACAGAATTAGAGCAGGCAACACTAAACGGTGGCGATAGGGGAATGCACGACTGATGGCATGCATTCACTCTGCATTGTCAAGTAATGACGGACAACTGGGGTGTCCGGGTTGACATGTATGGATCCCGCATTCTGCCGAGAAGGATTTAAACGCACCGTTACGCATGCATACATTCAGGCACCACACGCACAAACAGAGCAGCCGCATGCTTATGCAGAGGTTTATGGGTAAGTTGAGAAGGCAGCAGGCAGGCAGAAGAGAAGATGAGAATAAAGGGGAAAAATGAAAGCACCTCTATTTTGCGTCCCTCTACGATTGTACCGTTTAGTTTCTCCCGTGCACGATCGGCATCTGTGCTTGTTTCAAAAGTTACAAACCCAAAGCCCTGAGAGCACCACGTTAGCCATCGGTAGAGAGACAAAGGAGAAGGAAAAGATGGACACACACACAGAGGAGGAAGAAAAGGGAAGGGAGGAGAAAAGGGAGAGAGAGGTGAGAAGACAGGAGTAGGTGAGCAGCAGAGTCGAGTTGTAAGCAGCCAGATTAATTAGAGGCAGTTAGTGAGGCGTCAGGAAACAGCAAACAGAGAGATCCGAGGAGAAGAGGATAACGGTGACATGACCTCACACAACAACACCAACAAACCTGCCTGCTTTACCCAATTAAACAGCACAGCACCGGTGCCATGGGTGAATGTCAGGAAGCAGCGGCTGCCATAATAGTCGTATAATTATCTACACAACTTCAGCGCCGCAGCCGCCGTCTCCCTTTGAAGGCGTGGGCAACGGCAGAAGGAGTGAGGATGAATCCTCTGAACAGACACGTTAACTTGATCTCTGGCTTTTTCTTATTCGCTGCACTAATAGGTGGGCCATTTTACGGAGGCGAAATTACACCGGCTCATTGATGCAACCAAGAAAAAAAAAGTGAATGGTGTCATTGCAAATATGCTCGTCTGTGATAGAGAAGAGCTCCAATATTGACTTTAAACCCTGACCAAAATATACCCAACCTCTCCAAACTCACTCTCTCTGCCTACCTCCCCTGGGGGGTTTGTCACTTCCTTGAGTTATGTGGACTGGGATACTGGACTCTCTATAGCGCAAGCTTTAAGATATTCTGGCCAAACAAGTCCCATTCCTGTGGTTTCTATATATACGTATAGAGGTATAGGCTGAGGCAGAGAGAGCATGGCCGGCGCTGCCTGATAATTGCTTGAGGATGTAATACATGTGAGAGATGGCGAGCGGAGTGATCTCGTATGCATACGCAGGATCTCCGGGCTGCTATTTCTAGCATAAATAACACGCGACCTGTCCTTGGGGAAAGAGAGATAAAGAAATAAATTCAAAAAAGGAATTGAGGGCAAAATTAATCCTTTGGACATTCACCCGACTGTGGTTACCCCCTCTATCTTTTTTTTATCATGCACAAATAATTAGCTTACAAGAGCACAGAGTGGAGCCACCATTTTTCAAAGGAGACAAACATATTGAATGCAAATTGCCAAAGCTTCATAGGAAATAGATTGTTTATTAATGGCCTGGTAGGTTCATTATATAGCACACAGAGTGCAAGAGGGAGAGAGGCATCATGGGTAATGGCTTTGTAGGGCACAAACAATAAATGCTTGTTACGGGCGGAGGAGACCGGTTTATCCGGTGCTCAATCTTGTCTGGCAGAAGGGGCTGAGTGCAGCAGCGTCGCCTGGTTCCGGGGCTCCCTGCACGCCTGTATACGAGCCCAAAGTACTCCCAGGTATGAATGGGAATCAATAGCATTCATGCCTCAACACCCAGCCAGGGAGCCTGTCGCCTTTATGAATGGAAAGCTGTGGAGCTTAGTACACTCTATTAAATGAACAGCTGGATGAGTAGCTCTCGGCTGCTCACACCTCCGCAGGCTTCACCTGTCCTGGTTGGGAGACTGATACTGCAGTAACGCATCGACGCTGTGGCCATTTCTCTGGCGGCTGGTTGGCGTGTTTACGAGTACAAATTATCTTTGAGACAAATGTAAAAATGATCCGAGGTGTGCAAGTTCACAATGTTGTTTAAGGAGGCGCAGCTTGAATTATAAGCAGTATTTCTTATTTTCTGTACAGGTGACCTTTAAGAACACTGCCGTCTGAGTTCTGCGTTTTTCTTTGTCGGCAAATTGTACAAAAAGACAAAACTAAAATATCGTGCTTGCCTGTATATCCATGAATTATTAAAAACACATCACAGAGTCACCGCAAAGGCCCACTGCTTACACATACACTGCTCTGCTGCTGAAAATAGTCCCTAGCAGTAGTATTTTACTTCCATTTAAGTTTCCTTTCAAAAACATCTTAAATAAGGGTTTTGGTTTGTGGCCTTTTTTAGTTGCTCTGCACTTTATTTCCTCTCACTATAAACTTCTTTGCTGATGATACTGTGATATATGCCCCAATCCTGTTCCTGCAGAGTTACTGATTCAGTCTTCTAATGATGTTTTGCAATTACTGCAGCCTCCTTTAAAATGCCTACCAACTGTGTGGCATTCTCCAC